TCGCTATTGTCTCTCAAAGGCTAAGGCTGAGAGTCAGCTGCTCTTTGTCACAATGCTTGTAGTGTGGCTTTTCTTGGTGTAAAGTCCAGACAAAGGTATAATGTTTCCTATATCCATATCTTTACCAAAAGTAAGAAAAGGAGAGGTAAATCAGGGCCATAAGCATATTTCTTTGTGAAGAATTATCTGCATGCTTCATATGCACATAAATTATACATTCATGTCTTTAAAAAAAACAACAAACTTAAGACACTGTTATGAAACGAACTTATTTTACTCCTTTATACTACCCTGGATGGCCTGTAAGCAATTGAGTTTGTAAACCTAACCCAGACTTCTCCTCAATTTAAAAGTAAGTTAGTCCAGAAAATTCAAATGGCTTGCCCTGGGCACTTGGTCACAGAACACCCAGTCACTGTGACGGCACCACCGGTGCTAGAGAAATGAGAAACATCAGAGAGGTGCTTAAATGGTACTTCCCCCGACATCAGGAAGGGCAGGGACAGAGCCATGCACAGATTCTCCAGGGAACAGAACAGAGGCCCTTTAACCCATTCAGACAAGGAAATGATATCTGAGGTGAGATTGAAAGGATGGGGAAGAGCTATTCAAGGAAAGAGAAGAGAAAGGAGACAAAAGCAGGACACAGAAAGGGACGCCATGTACTCACTCTGTTCACATTGGGAGAGCTGATACTCCTCCTACTCAGTTTCCCTTTGGCCGTCAACTGCTCCTTCACCGCAACTTCCTGCCAGTCAGAACCAGAGGGAAACTGTATCAGAGACACACTCCGAAGCAATACCAGCGAAAGCAAGCCTTGAGTGACCATCTACACATATACATTCCTAGTTCTGTACATAATGGCTGTCACTCCACATGACGAGTGATCCCATTACAATACTGTGGACTATCCAAAGTTAGCTGCAGAGCTGACAGGCTACTAGATGCTTCTCTCCTCTATACTGACGGCCCCCCTGAAGCTGGCAGAAGTCAGTCCCAGGAGAAAGGTCATGAAAATCAGATCTTTCACTTTTATTTTTCATGAGTATGTTTGGTTGCAAAAAGTCTCAAACTGCTAGGCAGCATGAGGTTTAGGGTTTCCCTAAGGGTTAGGTTTACTGCTAGCATTTCTATTCTCCCATCTGGAGACCATTCTACGGCTGTGGAAGGTTTGTCCAGCTAAGCAAGGACCCACTGTGCCTCACTACTGCATAGTTCTTCAGCAACATTACTGCCCAGTGTGAAGGCATTTTTAAAATGATTCTTTAGCCAGCAAAAGTTAAATACTTTCTCCCATTACTTCCAACGCAGCTAGATACCACATAGTGCCTTGGAAACAATAACTTTCCAAATGTAACTCTTGCATCTTCACAGACTACACTGGCAAGGCTAAATTAATATGCTCCACTTAAGTAGATGCTTCAAAGTTTACACCTAACAATACTGGGATGCCGAAAGTCAAACACAGAATCGGGCTGGGTCAGCCCCACTGCACCCAGCACCACGGACTGACCTGGCGAAGGCGATCCAGAGTGAGCAGGTTCTCCACGTCCAGCACGCTTCGAAGGTATTTTTCAATGTAAGCCTCGGAGTCAGCAGAAGCCGCGTTTTCCACATTAGCTGCCATTCTCGCTAATGTTTCTCGTTCCTCTACTCCCTGGGCATCCTGGAGAATGGAAAGTTGTATATTAAAATTAAATACAGTGCAGAAGAAAACAGTGTTAAAAGCGTCTTGATCTATACAGACACACACGTACATACAGAGTACTGAGCTAACAAATGGGATATAGGCCCATTGTAAAGTCAGCTTCTGGAACTCAGAAAGCACTTCCCCACAGAAACCACGGTATAAACGGTGGTTAGGTTGCTTTGAAAGGCTAATTAAACACAATGTAGCTGAAATAGTGCATTCTCAACAAAGCTGTTCTCTCTTTGATTTCCACTGCAAACAAAAGCATTACTGGTTAGAAAGGATTTGGTGGGCTAGTTGGAAATATAACCACCAGTATATTTTAGGAACGCATCTTGAGGGGCAGGAGAGAAGAATGAGGAGCTGGGGAACAGCTAGGTAAGGGTGGGATCCAAACAACCCTAGTAAGAGGCAGACATGGGGATGGAGAATAAGGGTGGAAAGAAGTGTGGGTTTCAACACTTTCACTAAGCAGCCTACCACAGACTATTCAAGATGTACCGGCTTCTACAACTGGTTTCTGTCCTCAACTCTGGAGTGGCAGAGCCGACCAAGAAGAGAAGCATCCAGGGAAATTCTCACTGTGCTTTCCAGCACAGCCCAACCCTGCTCCTCTGTCTGACATAGACAGGCCATGCATATAAATGGGATATGCACAAGTTGGGGAGCAGGGGCAGATTAATGTATTTATTTCCAGCAAACTTAGTTCATAACAAATTATTCTGCTCAGGGAAAATCAGATACTTTATTTACTTGTGAATTTGTCAAAAACTACAAAATATATATCCATATGCCACTGCATCTTAAGATACCATCAACTTTAAGAAAAAAAAAACCATCATTTTATATACCTCAAAGGAGAAAAAAAATGTCTGCCTACTAATTTTAAGATATCATTAATTACAAGACACATTCTACCTTCCAAAAATGTTTTTTAAAATTTAGATAAGCATTAGAGCCTGGCTGGAGTGGCTCAATTGATTAAGCATCATCCTGTGTACCAAAGGCTGCTGGTTTGATTCCCTATCAGAGCACATGCCTGGGTTCCAGGTTTGATCCTTGGTCAGGGTGCATGTGGAAGGCAACCAGTTGATTGAAGTTTCTCTCTCACATTGATCTCTCTCTCTCTCTCTCTCTCTCCCTCCCTCCCTCTAAGTATGCCCTCAGGTGAGGATTAAAAAATATAATAATAAAAAATAATAATAAATGAGTATTGGGATGGATAAAATAAGGAAGAATTTGAAAGATGGCAACATTTTTGACTCCTATAGTAATGCATTTGAGGCTTTTAATAACCCTAAAAAGAAATCATTTTCATTCCATAGATAAGGAAAGAGGAAGGCTACATAATTAGCAAAAGAGGCAAGGCTAGAGTACATATTCGTTTTTCCACTCAACACAGAATATTTTTCAGTGTCTGAAGGGTACAGACATTATCCTGATTGTCTAAGAAAGGGGATACTTGAGTTTTAAGAAACACATATATCTCCATGTTACCCACACACCTATCAAACATAAAACATTTCCATTAACTCAGGAAGTTCATCTATGGGCTTCACAATCAATCCCAGCCCTCCTTAAGGCGAGACAATTTCTCTGACTATACATGTTAAGCATTTCACCTTTTTTGGAACTTCAAATAAATGAAATCATACTCTTGTGTCTAGCTTCTTTCACTCAGCATAATTCTGAGGTTCATTCATATAGTTCATTTCTTTGTAGAGCTGAGCAAGATTCCACAGTATGGAGGTACCACAATTTATTTTATCTATTCATCTGATGATGGATGTTTGAGTTGTTTCCGGTTTCCGGTTATTCTGAGAAGCTGCTATGAATATTCTTGTGCAAGTCTTTATGGACATATGCTTCCATTTCTCTTGGGTAAGAACTTAGAAATGGAATTACTGAGTCATGAGGTAGGTGTCTATTTTCTAAAGTGGTATATTATTTTATACTCCCACCAGCAATGAAAGCATTCACGCTGCTTAAAAAAAACCAAAAAAACAAAAAAACATGTGAAGATGTTTCTTGTTGCCCTCTGGCCTATGATCACTTCTTGCCACCAAACCCTCCTAGCTTCTGAAATATGGAACACAAAAGGACTTTTTGGGGCTTTTTCATGATGAGACCTAGCTTAAGGGATCTTTTTGTTGTTGCTAATCCTAACCAGAGGATACTTTTTCCATTGATTTTCAGAGTGGAAAAAGGGAGGGAAGAAGGTGGAAAGAGAGAGAAACATCGATGTGAGAGAGACACATCGATTGGTTGCCTCCCACCAGGCACTCCGACCTGGAGTGAGGTGAACCTGAAACCCAGGTACGTGACCTTGACCAGGAAACAAACCCACTGACCCACAATGGCCAGGGCTTAAGGGATCTTTTTATTTTTAAATAAAAAAATAAACTAAGTATAGTCCTTTTACTGTAGACTTTAAAACTCACTTTCCCTTTTACTTTACATCAGAATTTGGCAATGTAAAAATTACGCTTGCCAACTGAGATGTTTAGCTAATTATTAGCAGGTAGCCCAAACACATGAGGTTATGTTTATATTTCAGCTGGTTCCTCCACATTTCTTCCCTTTGAAAACCATACCACCTGAAGAATAAAAACACTTGTAAAGGGGGCATAGGGGGATAATGGGGGGATAAGGACACATATGTAATACCTTAATCAATAAAGAAATTAAAAAAAAACACTTGTAAAGAGGATAAGAAAACTACAAATAGGAGGGGTGAAGTGATGGGGACAGAAAGATGAGAAGAGGAAGGAAAAGTGGAGATGGTTCATTATAGCTGTCACTGTTTCTCAATTACACTCAAACCACTTAAAATCTGAAACAACCAGGAAAACATACAAAACACTCAGATGCAGAGAATAAACAGCAAGTCTCTAGTTAAACATGTAAGTATGCAAAGAGTGATCTATGATGGACCCAAGATTTTGCAGGTAGTCTAACTCTGAAAACAGACTTAACATTTGTTCAGCAGGCTCCAAATTAAATAGTTTAACAGTTAATATTTACTATGAAAGTCTAACACTTTGAAGATCCAGGAAAAACAAGTTACTATTTGACATTATTTGAAAGAAAAAGTGTTTTGCAATACAAGAAATCTCTTCCAAAAACTGCTCTCTGTATTAAAATATATATTGGTCTATCTATTGTTCAGATACTCAACAGGATGAATGAACACACACAGAACCTTCAAATAAAGAGAATGGGGCTGACGTGGATGGATGTGAGGAGAGAAGGCGTGCCCCCAGGGCTCACACTCCATGCTCCGTGCTCCACTCCTGAGAAAGGAGTCTCACCTCCTCACTCACTCCTGCTTTCAGACAGTGAGTGTAGCGAGGGCTGCTCCTCTCTCTCTGTCATCAAATCCTTTTCGTAGGCCCCTCATTTCTCCTGCTCATGTACAGAAGGCCTCCAATACCAGCGTGCAGTGCCCAGTTAATAAGTCTCTCAATCAGGGATGAAACACTAGGAAGCATAAACTGCATCCGACAATAATCTTCTGTCAGGGACATTTTAAGCTTGATTTGCTTAAGTCCTGTGAATATCTCACTTAGTTCATAAAGAGAAATAATAATAATAAAATAACAATAGTAACTACAATAATAACAGCAATTACAATTTATAGTTTAGCGTGTGCACAACAATTTGTATATACTGTCTCATTTAATTCTTAAAACAATCCTCTTTGGAAGGTATTGCTAACCTTTCCTGATAAATAAAAACATTTAGACTCAGGGTAACCTATGAGAGTTCACTTCACTAATAGGTTAAAGAAACAAGATTTCTGTTTGGCTCCAAAATGAAACCCTAAATCTCTGCTATCTTATGTTGGCTCCCTTTGAGAGTTACAATATTACCTTATGTCTTTTTAAAAGTTTATTATTTATTAAAGTACTAGAGGCCTGGTGCATGAATTTGTGCATGGTGGAGTCCCTCAGCCTGACTGGCGATCGGGGCCAATCAGGGCCGGCTGGTTGGCCCTGGGGGAGGTTGGCTGGCTGCAGGAGGTTGGCTGTGGGAGCGCACAGACCACCTGGTCAGCCGGGGGGGTGGGACCATGGCAGGTTGGCTGGCCACGGGAGGTTGGCTCTGGGAGCACACTGACCACCAGGGGGCAGCTCCTGCGTTGAGCATCTGCCCCCTGGTGGTCAGTGCACGTCACAGCGACCGATCGAGTGGTCATTCAGTCAACCAGTTGTAATGGTCGCTTAGGCTTTTATATATATAGATATAGACTAAAGGCCCAGTGCATGGAATTTGTGCACAGGTAGGGTCCCTGGTGGCTGCTGGCCGGGGCCTCCCTTCCCCTGGACACCTGCTGCCACTGCCGCTGCCAGCCAGGGCGGGGCTGGTTGGGGGGAGGGGCTGCGGGCAGTTGGCCAGCTGGTCCCACCCCCTGATTGAACTCCTGGTCGAGGGGACAATTTGCATATTAGGCTTTTATTATATAGGAAGGATAGTTGACATACAACATTAAATTAGTTTTAGGTGTTCAACACAGTAATTTGACATTTATATGCCTTACAATGTGGTCACCACAATAAGTCTAGTAACAATCTGCCATCATATAAAATTATGATGATATTATTGACTATTTTCTCTGCTGTACATTATATCTCTGTGACATTGTTTTATAATTGGAAGTTTGTACCACTTATTCCTCTTTATCTTTTATCAGTGAAAAGGTATCAACTTGCTTTTCTTTTTTTAATATATTTTTATTGATTTCAGAGAGGAAGGCAGATACAGAAACATCAATGATGAGAGAGAATCATTGATTGGCTGTCTCCTGTATGTCCCCCACTGGGGATCAAGCTCACAACCCAGGCATGTGCCCTGACTGGGAATCGAACTGTGACCTCCTGGTTCAAAGGTTGATGCTCAACCACTGAGCCATGTGGGCCGGGTCGATTTGCTTTTCAAAGCAATGTTTTTCTTTAACAAAATACTAAAGTCAGAACCTTTAGAGCAGCGGTTCTCAACCTGTGGGTCGTGACCCCTTTGGCGGTCGAACGACCCTTTCACAGGGGTCACCTAAGACCATCCTGCATATCAGATATTTACATTACGATTCATAACAGTAGCAACATTACAGTTATCAAGTAGCAACAAAAATAATTTTATGGTTGGGTCACAACATGAGGAACTGTATTTAAAGGGCCAGAAGGTTGAGAACCACTGCTTTAGAGCCACAAGTACATGTTACTGAGTCAAGATTAGGAAATTCTTCTAAAAACTTATAGCATGTCTCTAAATATACATTTCTATTTAGTACATGTTCCTTAGGTAGGTGGCTTTTCAGGGAGTTAGCTCTTTTTACATGTTTATTTTTAGTAAATTCAAATTTCATATGATCATTCACCTCTGGGATATTGGAGACAATCTCAAAAGTCACTCCGCAGCCAGGAATAGAACTTCGATGAGACATCTTTTTTAGGAGACTCTGAGCAAAACCCTAGAAAAACAAAATAGAAGATACGGTTTTCCACTTCAAAAACTGAATTTATATTATCAGAGAAACAGCGTAAATGATATTGCATTCACTCCAACCAAAAAGAAACAGAACATATTTCCAATCTATGCATGTTGAAATCCAAATCACCAAACACAGGTTCCTCCACTTTGTCTTAGTGCACACAACCCATTTTAGATACCTGTGTGTCTACATGTGCGAATGGGTAACAGGTCCTATATCCACACACTGAGAGCACAGACCCTAAACTCTGGAAACTGACACCAGGCATCCGGTTCAACTCTGCTTAAAGGCTACGGAAATAAGGCTGTTAACTTCTACACAATAAAACGACCTTCTAGCTAAGAGGTAAGCAAGGACTGGTGACTCCTACACTTTTTTTATTCCAGTACGATAGACATCTTGTACCATGAATATTGACAAGTTCGGGCATTAAATTCTTGACCAAAGCAGGATCGTTATGAAGGATGATTTAAGAGTGCATGGTCATTGTTTATGCTGACTGTGCTCTTTGCAGTTAAGAATTGAACTGTTGAATTAATGCATAGATGACTCATTTAAAGATGCTGCTAAGACTGAACATCCTGTAGAGGTTGAAGAGAGCAGGGATGAGGGCAGAATATAATTGGTGAATAAAGATAAGAAGAAGAGAGAATATTAAACTAACAGAGAACCTTTTTCCTCATGCAAAAGGGAAGCAGGAAATATGTGAAAACCCCCCAAAGAAAACAGAAAAATCAAGCTGCTTGGTCTTAGGAATACATATTTTCACAAACCTACTGAGTAATTTCTTTCCTATTTAGTAATCTTTAGTTAATTTTTTAAAGATATATTAACCTTTTAGAATGCAAAGAGACCATTACTTCATCTCTTCACTCTCTTGACTGCAGCCCGCAAAGCTGAGCCATTACCAGTCCATTGGCCAGAGAGGAGCTACAGCTATTTTCTAATGGGTGTGTGTGTGGGGCGGGGGGCAGTGGGGAGAGGGAAAGTGTGGGTGCTGCTGTTATCTCCATGCTTGTTTTCTATGTCTATGGAATTACTAAAGCTGACTTGCATGTATTAGGCTCCTAAGGAAGTCCCTGCTCTTTTTATACAGACTTCATTTTTAGAAATGAAATATCTGAAATTGGGACGAAAACTGCCGTGCCCTAAAATACTGTAATTTCATTCAGTATCAGCTGGATACTATCAAATCATTTCAACCAGGGGGAAAATGTGGCAAGTCCTTGTCCCTGCAACAAAAAATAAAAACAAATAAAAAATGTAGAAAAAACTTGGTGACATCACAATGCACCCTTTCTGTTAAAAATTCTGTGGGGCCAGTACCCAGTCAGTCTCAGTTGTACCAGGTTAGTCTCGGTGCTTGGCAACCAGAATCTCTAGTTCTGAAACGGCAAATAACTCTTCAAAATGTTCCCCAGCATGCCGATTTTAATCCATCGAGCCTTCCGAGAAAAGGGAGGTGGAGAGAAGAGTGAATGAGAGACACACCATATGCATCTCTGGCTAACCCGACGACCTGGGCTTTATTGATGTTGGATTGCCCAGCTAAAGAGCTGCAATTTTAACAGCGTTACCGCCAGTCTTCATTTCGAAGATTGATATCAGTGTGACATTTAGAACTAAAGATTAATTTTTAGGGGTGGCGATTACATCTAGGACTCTGTCAACCATGACTGTGCTCTTTTAAATGAAAAGATTTATTTTCATCTGTTCTGGTTTTAGTCAGTGTATTGGGAAGGTCTCCAAAGAGTGAGCATAGACAGTTAAAAAGAATCCCTAGAATCAACCTCCCAAATCCTGTATTTGCAAAACCAATAACGGAAAGAGTTTATATCCACCTAGAAATGTTCCACTAAATGTGTCCTTCATGTGGCACAAGGTCCTTTGTAATCTAGCTTGCAACCATGCCGGCCACGGCCTTTGGCTCTGCAGCACACGCCTGCTTCTCCAGGTCCCCAAGCCTGCCACGCCCTTGCCATCCTCACCACCCCTGCACATATTTCCTCCTCTCCACGGAACAGCCAACAGCTCCTTCCTTGTCTGCAAAAAAGCAGCTCGCATGCTACCTGCTCTCTGAAGTCTCCCCCGATGTCCTCAGCCTGAACTCTCCCTTCCGCACCTGCCCTCTCCCAGCACATGGTGAGCACCCGCATCAGGGCACAGTCACAGGAGAGGAGAGTCACCTGTTTATACATGGACACATGCCAACGGACACTGGCTCTTTAAGGACTGAGACTATTACTTATTCATCTTTTACCCCAAAGCCAGATAAGAGTCCACGTCCCAAATTTATGAATCAGCCAATTCAGAGAGATTACTGAAAGGAAAGAAAGGTATGGAAAGCAAAGGGTAAGAAGCACAAACAAAGGCTCCCTGCAGTGAACCTTCTCATCTTAGAGGACCCAGATGAAAAGTCAAAAACAAAGAGCCTTCACCTCGACAAGGCTCTGTGGCACCTGAAAAAGGGCTGTAAGTTGTGCCTATACAATAATAAAGGTCCAATGTAATGATTTACTACTGGCTCGGAGGAAGCCAGGGTGACATGCTCTGGGACGGAAGCAAGCCCAGCTACAGGCCAGGAACAGCCCCTTGAAGAGAAGCGCGCAATGCTGCACAGAGCCTGTGGGATGGGAGGCCAGAGGGTCGCTCCACGGCCCTGCCCTGCTTCCAGTCATTTCTTCCACTAGGATGAGCGACTCACCTGCCGGCCATGCACATTGACACAGATTCGTTTGCGCAACACTAGCTGCATGTCAGCTGGATGGCTGAGCCCAACCGTCACCCGCACAATCAGAAACACTCGCTCATCCGCAGGGGTGCCTTTGCTGAGCTGAGGACAACTGTGCACTGCGGAGTCCCACGAAGCTTCCGCTTTCACCTGCAGAGAAGACAGAAAGAACATGCTTTCCGATCTTCTCCTAAGAACAAGAAATCTCACAAAGAGACACCTTGGCTTGGGCTGAGGTGGAACATGCCAGTCATGAGGGAGTCTACTAAGAGCCCTGCCCTGAAGACTGTGGAGTATGAGGGTGTGGCCACTATCACCCTCGGCTGGGAATACAGAGCAGAATGTTCTCTGCTGGCTGGATTTGAAATTAAAAAAAAAAAAAAATGCTCACCTGCCAGCCATGAACATAAAATTTTTTTTGCAAATTCAGTTCAATGAACTCCTGCATATCTTTCATCTAGATTCATCAACTGTTAACACTGGCCACTTTTCTTTTCCCTCTTCCTCACAACACAGACACACACTGTGTTATTATTATTAATTTTTGCTGAATTGCTTTAGAATAAGTTACAGACATATAACTCTACATCCCTAAATACTTTAGCAATTATCGTCTAAGAACAAGGGCATCCTCTGACTTACCCTCTGACTTCCTGAATATTATCATATTCAGGAAATTTCACATCGATGCAATACTATGACATAATATAGAGTTCATACTCAAATTTTCCCATTGTTCCAATCCAGGATCACAAACTACATTTAGCTGTCATGGTCCCTTTATTCTAATTTAATCTGAAATGGTTCCCCAGCCTTTGTTTATCACGCGAGACACTGACTACGAAGGAAGGACCCGTGTCTGTTTACAGAGGGTGCCACAGCTGGGTTGTCTGACTGCTTCCCCCTGTGAGACCCAGGTTGTGCATCTTAGGCATACCCCTAAGGGACCATGTGTCCTTCAAAGCATCACATCAACTTCCCTTCCTTAATGTATTTTATCATTTTCCCAATATACTCCAAATTTTTAAATGAACCCCCACTGTACTAGTATACCCATCACTAGGATTCAAACATTATTAGGATTTTACCACACTGGATTCATTGATTGTTTCCCTGCCCCCCTTTTTTAGAAAGTATTAACTGAAGAATTTCAAAGCAAATCCCAGGTATGGTATCATTTTACCTCTTCACTTCAGCAGCATTTCCCTAGAGAGTGGGCCCTGCAAACCTGAACAATGAATACTAACACTCAGCCTTCACCAGGAGAGGAAGTAAGTGTTGCGTGGACTAATCTGATGATCCACTCCTGGAAGTGGTTCCATTCTTTCTGGAAGCCATAATGAAAAGTTTCCATTTACATTTCTGGAGAAATGTAAGCACTGAAATAACAACCTTGCTGGCTGTTTCAAAAGGCTCAGGGAAAGGTTAAGGAAACTACTTCTCATCCAATCCTCCTGAGTTATGTTTTACTTACCTCTCTATCATGGTGTTTGACAATTTGCAGTTCTGGAAGTGGTTCCATTCTTTCTGGAAGCCATACTGAAAAGTTTCCATTTACATTTCTGGAGAAATGTAAGCACTGAAATAACAACCTTGCTGGCTGTTTCAAAAGGCTCAGGGAAAGGTTAAGGAAACTACTTCTCATCCAATCCTCCTGAGTTATGTTTTACTTACCTCTCTATCATGGTGTTTGACAATTTGCAGTTCAAAGAACTCGTCCTCCTCTTCCTCAGTAAGGGTAGCATCCCATCCACCAGGTTCTGGGTCATCAAGATTATCCTGAGAGCTGAAATCATCCGCTAAAAGCAGAGAAGTTCCATTACGTACAAAGATCATTTTAAGGACAACCCCTACCAGTTAAATTTCAATGTGTTTGTTATTAAAATCCTTCTGCCTCAAATTTCATTTCCTTTGGCTCTAAAATCTTACATGACAAGGATGATGACCATTAAACAGTTCACAGATCTTAGAAATGAAAAATGCCTCAAGAAATTATCTTACCCAATCTCTTACCTTTATGCCTTATTTTACATGAAAGGCAACTGAAGCCAAAATACCCAAGAGGTTACTCAAGGTCAGTCCATAAATGTTAATGATAGGATTATAACCCAAATTCCCTGAAAAAAGGAGAAGCAAGAATGATTCTGATTATCTGACAGTTGAGTTCATTAAAAGATTATAACCCAAATTCCCTGAGAGTGGACTGAAAAAAGGAGAAGCGAGAATGATTCTGATTATCTGACAGTTGAGTTCATTAAAAGAATCAACTGGCTACAGGAACTAGAAACTGGAGGAGTTTCTAGTTCCTGTAGCCAATTATATAATACTAGAGGCCCGGTGCATGGATTCGTGCACCGGTGGGGACCCTCGGCGTAGCCTGCAGTGATCGGGCCAAAACCAGCAGTCCAACACCACCTGCTCCTCCTGCCTGCCACTCCTGCTCATCCTGGCCCTACTGTGCCTGCTGCTGCCACTGCCTGCTGCTCGATAGGCTCGCTGCTGCTCTGCTGTGGTCTCGGGGCTGTGGCGGCCAACCGTGAGCCCTGTGTCTGGCGCTTGTTGGTCAGCTGAGTGGCACTCCCGCTGTGGGAGCGCACTGACCACCAGGGGGCAGCTCCTGCATTGAGCGTCTGCCCCCTGGTGGTCAGTGCATGTCATAGCAATCGGTCTACTGGTCATTCAGTCGCTTAGGCTTTTTTTTTAATTTTATTTTTTTTATGCTTAGGTTTTTATATATATAGATAGAGTCCATACTCAAATTTTTCCCATTGTTCAAATCCAGGATCACAAACTACACTTAACTGTCACTGTCCCTTTGGTTACTCAGTTCCAAACCTGTCCTCCCAACTCCCTATCCATAAGCTGTGAGTAGGCATCAAAGGTATCTTTTTAGTATGTGGGCTTAGGCAGACCAACAATGGGCATAAGGCTGAACAAGGTCCTGATCATGTCTAGGAATATCCATACTAACAGGTCTTCTTTAGGCTTAGTCTTCTCTCCCTCTCCCTCTCTCTCCCTCTCCCTCTCTCTCTCTCTCTCTCTCTCTCTCTCTCTCACACACACACACACACACACACACACACACACAGCTCACCTATCCAGGAACTGAGCATAAGATTAGGCCAGAGTCACCTTTAGGTTCAAGATTCAAGAGAACAAGGTAGGAGAGAGCGCTGCGGCAATACATTAAAACCCTATCAGGTGGACAGATAGTGGAAGTGGCTAAGTACTCTTTCTAACTCTGTGTGTATATGAAACTCTCCCATGTGTCTAAATAAGCTAACCAGCACAAGATGCGAAAAACCTCAGATATCATAACTCATTTCCAGCTCAGTGAAAGAAAACCCCTGAGGACATCCCATCTTGCCCATTTAACATAGTTAATTTTAATATACAGTTCTTCTGCACATGTTTTAGGAATTCAACTGCTGACTTTTAACTTATTTTTAGCTCTTTAATCTACCTCTACATTTTTATTTTTCCTTGTCAGATAAAGTATATGTAAAATGTAGCCACACCTAAGATATTTTAACATGACCATAAAATGTCAGAAAAAAATGACATTAAAAAATAGGCAAGGTGGGGATGAATGACAAAGAACTCACAGAAAAAGTGATAACTTTAGTAGGCAATGTTAAGGAAGCACCAGATAAAAGAAAACAGGCTACATAAGGAATCACTAGTCATTAGTCCCTTCCAGAGAGAAGCCTTTTCTAAGAATTATTCTTTAATTTTAAGTGCAGGAAAACATGACTACCTTCCTAAACTGAGGAAAGAACAAAGCATGCACACAGTGTGGGCTGTAGAATGATATGTGAGACACATCATGATGAAACATACCTATCACTGTTACAAAAATATTACTCTCTCAGAAAGTTCATTCTTGGTCAAGTATCAAGTCCTTTGGCACACATAAAATGAACCCTAACCTTAGGCCTACAGAACTGCACAACTGCATCCTTTATTAGAATCTAAGTGTTACATGGAGAGTAATGTGTTAGAGGTAAGCCTTCCAAAAGTACCTCCTAACTTACCATTTAAATCAAGGAATATAACAGGAATGTGTGTCTCCATCCCAGGAACTGGGGTCCTAAAACATAATGAACAAATAGCATCTCAAATAAAGCAGACAGTCTCAGCAGCCCGGACATGGTGCCACAGCCTTAATCACAGCCAGCCAACAATAACTCTGCTGCTCGGTTTGCTGTAATAAACATCCGAGATGCCACAGAGCCCTAACGGTAAGTGCTGCCTCCCTTCTCGGGTGTAATTATCATGTGCTCTGAAAGTAGAACTCCGTCTTCTAAGATGCATATACCTGTTTATAAATGAGGCTTCCTTGTTTAAAGTTACTTTCTTATAAAATTATATACCTAAGGGCCCCATATGGCTTCATTTACTATTTTTAATTTCTATAAAGTGGCACAGAAATCTGCTGACGGTACAGTTTTCACGAGCACCAAAACTAAAAACTCCTAGAGATGCAATTTTATGATGACCAAATGGTCTTTTAAGAGAATGACCCAAGTAATTAACATATTAACTATTTTTTTTAAATGCTAAGTGCACTGGTACTAAATATTGATTTAGATTCTCAGAAATCTTAATTATTTGAGCTCATAACAATATTATTTAATAAAACAATTTTAGGCCATAGTTATTCCAACTCATGAAAATAATTTAAACACTTCCTCTAATTCAAACAACTTTCCCCCCATATGCTGCAATGAGC